AGCTAGATTCTGGGATATTTTCGTTCTGGCAAGATATTGCCCAGTCACAAAATAGCCCAATATCTTGTCGCGCAGTACAATAAGTTGGACCAACTGAAATAAAGCCTTAGTTTCTAAAACTAGAAATATATTCCTACCGCTAGCATGAATATTTCCAGAATTATTCCCCTTTAAGAAGGATTTACTCCAAACTTGAATTTTAAGTTTCATATATTATAATATGACAAAATTCGTCACATATTTGTTATTATATCTTTGTTAAATTTGCCCTGCCCCAGGAGGTCATGATCATAGCTAAATACTGAAATAGAAACAACTCATTCCGGAATGTAGAGATATTTATAAAATGATAACAGGTCATTTACAGGGATATTAGGATATTGATGAAATGATCTTGGCACATTAAAAGGACATTTTGATTCAGAGTTTTTAGTGTTATAATGTGGTAGCATAGCATTTTTGACACACATGTAAATCTGTTTGTATATTCTTGATTTATCTAGTCAGCTTTTGTTTGTAAAAAAAAGAAAAATGAATAAAATTTATCAAGACATATTATTATTATTATTATTATTATACTTTTTCTCCGGAATTGTTACCATCTTTTAACAATTTATTGGCACCCGCATTTATTCAAAATCCATTAGATAAATGCAAACAAGCGAATCTGATTTGTTAATGATCCAATAATCCATTAAATCACGGCTTATGGAAGAGGAAAGAATACAAATTATAAGTGATTCATTAACAATTTATTTGCAATTTATTAATGAATTAGTTGCCCAGCGAACCCAATTTATTGGCAATTGATTGACCTGATTTGTTGTCAATTCATAGACTAAGTCGAAAAAAGGACCCAATTCATTACCGATTTATTAACCTGGTTTATTAACAATTTATAATCAGTTGGTAAATGGACCCAATTCATTTAATTGATTTATTTACAATTTATTTATAATGCATTGGCTCATTTGCATGTGATTTCCATCTATAATAAACTGTGAATTAATTGTAGATTTATTTATCATTTATTATACTAATTCATTCCTATCTTTTTTTGTTTGGGTGTTGTTGGGTTGTTGGATGACGTGGTTTTCGTGGGATGAACGGAAATAATGACTGTTGTTGGGTAAGTGGATGAAGTGCTTTGGCTTTTGAAAGGTGAGTAGATGTTAAGTTTGTCTTGGGGTAAGTGGTAAGAAATATTGATGTCTGGTAAGAAGATGTATTTTTTGTTTGTTGTTGTGGGTTTGTGAAAATGATGGCGTTTGCAGGGTGAGTAGATGTAGTGTTTGTCTTGGGAAAAGTGTATAAATATAAAGGATGTTGTGGATGAGTACGTGGGGTTAGGTGTATATAATTGCTTTTGTAGGCGAGTTGGTGTGCGGTCGTTTGTTTTGTGGGGTTAGTCTTAGTGGTAACAATGGTTGTTGTAGGTTGAGTGGATGTAGTGTCTGTCATGGAGTTAGAGTACATAAAAGATGTGAGCAGATGTAGTGTTTGTGGCGGGATGAGTGATATACTCACTGTTGTGCTGTAGAGTGAGAGGTAAGTAGATATGAAGTGTTTGTCGTGAAATGAGCGGACATATTGGCTAATTACGGCCAGTGTCTTTATTAATATGTATAATATTACACAACGGAGATTTTTTTGGCGCAAATCGTACACATTTTTCTCAAGATTAATTTTCTTGATTTATTTTGGTTTGAAGCACCAGCTGTTAATACTTTTATTTTTAGTCGATTGATATATACATTTTTATGTAAGTCTGGGACTTATAATTGTTTGGTTAACATACTTATGCCCCGAGGCGCCGTTATGTGTCGTAACGCCGCTAAATGTCGCACCATTGCCGCTAAATGTAGCAACCGCCGCTAAATGCCGCAAAATTGACTACCGCTAAATGTCGCAACTGTTACGTTTAATGTCGCACGATTTACCCTTGCTGTTAAATGTCGCAACACTACCGTTAAGTGCCGCAAGATGTATATTCATGATAAAATTAGGCTTGCTAGTGGTATTATATTACAATTATCACAGAGTTAGGTTGTATATATTATTTGTAAATTTGGGACCTAAAAGAATGTCTCGAATCTCCTGACCAAAACGATATATGCTTTTTAAATGTCCTTTTGGATTGAAATTAAAATGTATAAGCGATTGATTAAAGGATAGTAAGCAAATACACTACATGTTAGGTGCATACAATAATCATCTGTTAAGTATATTGCTTTGCGTTCGTGTGTCCATCTACTTTGAATTCCGCAAGAGACTTAGTCTTTTATAATTATGAGGAAAATACTCCAGCTAATTTAAAGAACGTCGCTGGTTTTATTCAGGTTCCTGTTCGTGCCTGAAATAATGCACGGAGAGGCCTCCGAGGTCTTTCTTCACCAGTAAAGCTGAAAAGTCACTATATGTCCTTACTCTGCTTGTGCTATGTAAAATCCAACAAAAATCTATTTATATCAGACTGCTTATTTTGTATATATTGCTCTTAGTAGGCCTACTAGCTTTCTACAATCTGAATATCAGCTCGAAATTTTAGGTTATACTCATTTATTTTAAGTCTACAAATGTATTTCGTTGGAAGCTCTACGCGTATTAAAACACTGGAAATGGAGCCAACAAGTGTGTAGAGTTTTTTTGCTAACGGTAAAAACGCATTGCCCCTCACTGGGTTTGAATCTACGCGGCCAGCAATCTTTAGATTACTAGTCTGACGTGTTAATCACTCGGCCTCTTACTTGATTATTTTTGACAGAAGTCTCATTAATAATCTTATTACAAACATTCAGTACGTTCGATGAGTTAAAGACCCAATAAAACAAACAAAATTAATTATAATTCAGTCTTCTACGGTACATGTACGCTTGTATGTGGGTGAGTGTGCGTTTGTGTATAATTGTGTATAATTGGGTTTGGTTTAATTTCCTTTATCACCAGCAAAAACATGAGATCACTTTCATTTTATTTCTGCAGGCTTCATCATTATGCCACGGCTAGAATTTCTTTAGAATTTCATACTGAATTACACAATAGACTATAACCTAAAAGTCATTGACCATCTACATTTTTGCTTATGCTTCACACTCCAGCTTTATGCCTTATAACCAAATGTCTCAAATTTTTTACAGATGTTTGTGATTTATGGACATAAATGTTTTAATATAAAATATTTGATTAAGATTTGCTACTACTTAAAATACACTAGTTTACCTACGTCTGTCATAGATAAATGACATATCATTTTACCTACCACTCGAGAAATTCAGGCAATACCTTGAGTTTTTTTTCTAAAACACATTTACTCTTTGAGACTACATATCGGCAAAGACTTGCATTTATTTCAACGGCATCAAACTATCAGAACTGGGATACAGCGCAACAACTCCCTATTACATCGCTGGTTCCCATTTAAAAAATTGTCAACCAAAGTAACTAGAATCTATGGTGGCTGATTTGGAACGCTTTTGTGCGTCGTGTTGGCGCTAGCGACAACACGACAAAGCGCCAAACGGCGCGTTGTCGGACTTTTGCATTGTCGTCCTGTCGTTAACGATGTACGTCAAACGGCGCGTTGGCGTGCTGCGTGTTGTCGCGATGTCAAATTGTCGCTCGGTTCAAATCGAAGGATTTGCTTGTAAGCCAAGCGACAGGGCGACATCGCGACAACGCGCCGCACGATAACTAGCCGTTTGGCGTGCTTCGCTAGAGACAGGACGACAAGACGACAGTGCGACAACGCACGGTTTGGCGCTTTGTCGTGTTGTCGCTGACGGCAAGACGAAAAGTCGATAACGATATAGGTTACGTTGTCGCTATCGACAACTCAACGCGCAATGTACCAAATCAGCCACCACAAGAATCAAATAATATTATTCTTAACATGTAAGTATCATCTTGTACAATCATCGGCCCACCAGGTTGGACCAATAAGTAACTTGTCTGCCATTCTCCTTCGAGTTGCTAGATGATTTAGATAGAGTTCAAAAGCATTAACTGGTCATGATAACAATGAAAGAAAAGAAAAAAGAAAACATTAATCGAAAATTTGATTACTGAATTTTACAAGAAACTTTTATTTTGTTACTACTTTTATGTATATCATTTACCTTAGATTAAGTTTGATAACATTACATGTAAAAAAATATCCCTAATGCGCCAAGAAATTATCCATTTCTACGGCATATAATCTTTTAAAACATTAAAAAATCAAGAGTAAAACAAACTTTTATTTTGATACTACATTGTTTATTCAATATAAATAATATATTATATTTTGTTAAATAATTGTAATTTATTAACATTCATTGTGCCTTTTATGCAAATATATGTTAAGATATTTTCGAATTAAACAAATCTTCCACAGCTGCAAAAAGACCTCTTGCATGCTTCTTTTTAAAGAAGCAAAACTTGTATATTAAATGGACATACATGTCCGGTTTGGCCATGTTTTACAATGTTTAGTGACGTATACATCTGTAGAGCCGCAGTACGGTATTTCAAGGTTCCCGGGCTTTTTTTCATTTTCATCACACTGTGACATTTGGCGCCCAACGTGGGGCCACGGAGTCCAATTTCACATTGTTCAATTTAATACAGATTTGGAGTATATCATTGGCTAACCAGGAGAGATATGTGTACGCGGCCGGATTTCTCATTCCGTAGGTCCCGCGTTCGAGTCCCGGTCAGGCTGCACGTTTTTATTTCCCTGTATGATATATATTATCATAGTCTAGAGTTTTTAGAAAACGCTTTAAATTACATAACTACTGAATATCAAATAAGCATTATCTATATGTGTAAACGATTCATCAAAGTGCAACAATGAGCGACTTAAACACATCCTGATCAAGTTACCGGTGTATTCATATTTGGTAAGAAAAAAATCTTAAATGATCTTAAACAAAGGACCAGGAAGTATCCGTTCTTAAATTTATTCATATCGCCATCTACTTAAACACTAAATAATTCATAACTTGACTGGATTATTTCAATTTTACGTAAATATATTGAAACAAGCAAAAACTTGCACGCGGTGAAAATAAGTTAACAAACTTTTATCATAATACATGCCGAAATTCTATATCATATTATTATGATGATATATACATACAAAACAATAAGAGCAAAAACAATATCAAGCCTGATCATTACTTCTAAGCGTGCACTGTGGGAGACAACCTTCACGAGATGTTGTTTAAACAACGAATGTAGTGTATCCGAAGAAGTTATAACAAATCGGACGGTTGTCGAGAAAAGTTAACTTTAACAGTAAACTTAACTTCCCCTTTTTTCGCTTTGTGTTAATGTGATAGTAGATTTTGTGAACTGAAGGAAAAAAGAAGTATTTGTATATATAATTTGTGAAATACATATATGTGGATAGTATACATATACACTATTTTAATGGTGATTCGTTAACAGTTATTAGACATAAATGTTAGTATAGATATAAATAAAAAAAATAATTAAATAGTTAAGTATAAAATACATTTTTGCTACCAAAAGAAATTCGGATGCATCAAACTTGCCTACAGATTGCATTTAAGAAGTTATTTAATGTGTATGTTTGTAGAAATTTGCAACTAAACTTTGAAAGGAAAATAACTTTGATCGACTTGGGTTGTTTTTCTTATAAATGAAATTTAATACTGGTATGGCTGAAACTTGGTATATGTCTAGTGAACTTTAAACAAAAGGGAAGTAATTAGCGTTTGAGAACAATGGATAGACTTTTAGCTTTTCTAAGACGGATTTTTGGCATGCAAGACGGCGAAGCAGGTAACTTAAATTTCATTAAAACTTTTTATTACGTTTATTTCTTATCAACAACATTGATTATCTTGTATTTTACATGTCTTGTTAGTATAGTGAGAAATGGCTTTAAAGATATCGAATAGTAGGCAGTTATTATAATGTGTTTATAAAAGTGACATTATATTACATCTTGTAATAGTTGACCAAACACAGTCCTTTTAAAATGGATTTATCACAGTCAATTAATAATTGATCTAGCGCCGTCATTTTAATCTGGAGATCTATCACAGTCGTTCAAAATGAATCTAGCAAAGTCATTTTATAATGGATCTAGCACACACTTATTTAATAATGGATCTAGCACAGTCATTTTATAATGGATCTAGTAGCGTAATTTTATAATGGATCAAGCACACTTATTTAATAATGGATTTAGCATAGTCATTTTATAATGGAACTAGCAGAGCCATTTTGTAATGGATCTAGTAGCGTAATTTTATAATGGATCAAGCACACTTATTTAATAATAGATATAGCATAGTCATTTTATAATGAAACTAGCAGAGCCATTTTATAATGGATCTAGTAGCATAATTTTATAATGGATCAAGAATGGATCTAGCATACTCATTTTATAATGGATCTATAGTAGCGTCATTGTATAATTGACCAAGCACACTCATTTTGATAATGGATATAGCATAGTCATTTTATAATGTATCCAGCCAACCATTTTATAATTGATCAAGCACTGATCTTTTTATAATCTAGCATTATCATTTAAATTTTTTTAATGCTTTAATTTAAGGTCGCCGCCGGAAAGCCCATATGGGCGACCGTACATTCAAGTCGGGTCATCCTAGAGCGTCCCGCCGAGATTTTTTTCCAGCTTTATTTGTGGAGGAAGACCCCCAGGTGCCCCTCTGGGCATTATTTCAGACACGAGCGGGTACCTGGGTAGAACCACCGACCTTCCGTAAGCCAGCTGGATGGCTTCATCTCATGAAAGATTTCGACCCGAGTCAGGATCGAACCTACAGCGGTGAGGGACCTGTGATCTCCAGTCAGCGACCTTAACCACTCGGCCCAAAGGCCCCGTATTTAAAAATGCATCTTGCACATTTTATTTATAATGGATCTAACATAGAAACACCGTAGAGAACGTGTTACAGTATCGCGTTTTTCGGTTTCAGTATAGAATTTTCAAGATGGATGATTATTTGTGGGGAAGACAGATAGGTGATTTTATTCCGATCCATACTACATGTAGTAAGGTTTCTAAAAGATGTTTTTGCGCTTCACTCGTAAGGAACTGGATCCAGTATCTAGTGGTATCCGGTGCACGGTCTGAAGAAATATATGGCTAAGAACCGCATACAGTTCCTTACAAGAAAATCACAGACCATCTTTAAGAAAATAAAATACTTGTAGTATGGACCGGAATAAAAATCACCTACCTGTTTTCCCCACAAATACTCCTCCATCTTGAAAATTCTATACTGAAACCGAAAAACGCGATACTGTAACACGTTCTCTACGGTGTTTCTATGTTAGATCCATTATAAATAAAATGTGCAAGATGCATTTTTAAATACGGGGCCTTCGGGAAGAAACGATCTACCGTATATAAGACTGTTTTTTTTTTTTTTTTTAAATAAAATATTCAAAGATTTCTTGAATCGAGAGATTGAACATTTCTTCTCTAAAGCAAAATATAAGTCTCTTATAACGATAATAAAATATACATCACTGTATTATTTACATATACCATGACACATTAAGTTAGATTGAACTAAACTAAAGTTATTTGAGTATGAACATTTATAAGTAAAAATTCCCTCGGGTGTAAATTGACTGCTATAGAAGGAAGTAGAGTATACAGATAAGTTTTGTAGTGTAACAATATGATTATCACAGCATACATATATAACTTCCGCTTGCGAGCGAGTAAGACTGAAATATAGGTAAAACAGTTCAGTTAAGCTCGATTATTGAAGATGTTTTTTACTTTCATGAGTGGGTCTTACATGTAATAGATATTTCCCGGTCTGCTTTTTGTGGCAAAACCTGTATTAAAACAGTCCGATTTCTCACTTCGATTTCTCAAAATTTTCTTTTTTTGTCGACTTCAAGCAACAATTTCGAAGCTTTACATCAAATATCTGTGCAAACCCTCTTGACTCTTAATCGAGTAACTATCTAGGTAACAGAAAATGAGGAGATATTTGAAGACAACTCTTCACTGACACTGAAATTGCCATCGCTGAGGTTTGTTCACTGTACGGTTGCTTGCATAATCTGAAAAACAAGTCGTCCGGTTGCTTGCGAGGTCACTATGCGGCTGCTTGCAATATCGATTGCATTTCTGATCACAAGAAGACTTGTTTGATTATTATCATGATTATGATGATGATGATGAAATAAATAGTGCCCTCTATTAAAAATATTTTTCAAAATCACGTGAAGATTCTTTGAAATAATTACATGTATGGGAAACTTGTGTCATATACATATATTTCTAAGAACTTGTACAAAATGTACATGTCCAAATCGTAGCAACACATTTTCTGCATAAGTAATCGGAAAAGATGTTCTGAATTAGTGCAAAACAGTTTTAAGTTATGAATATAAAATCAATAAGCATAGATGGTAGGGTCTACTACCAGGACTATATCAAACATGTTGATATTCTTGATTTAATTGACGTTAATTATTCGAAGTATTATTTTAATATTCACATTTTCTTACAATGTTAGTCTAAAATGCTTAATATATTTTTATTCAGTTTTGCTACATGTAAATTCTTATTTAATCATTTTGATAACTTGTTGTTGTCATTTATTTGAACATTCTGTCGTAATATTGAATTTCACTGTTGGAGAAAGTATCTCATATTTTAATGTTGGCATGTAGATAAATGAAGTGTTTATGCAGTCGGATTTTATATGTAACCAAGTTATCAATTTGGATTAGAAGTGCATCAATTCTTTGTTTATATATATGTCAGCCACTGTTAAGGTGTGTACCTTGATGATACATAAAGCAATCGAGTAATGAATTATTCGATTGATTTATGACTCACAGTCATTGTGGCAACTTTAAATTTAAGAGTCAAAGAGACACACTTTCATATTTATTTGCATTTACCTCGCTTAAGAATACTAGTGACGTATTATATATGTCACAAATAAAAAAGAAACATAGCAAAGAGATTCTCGTTCAAAACAAATCCGACCAATTAACTACACAAACGACGTTTTTTAAAGCACATAATGTAAACATTGAGTACATTGAGAGCAGTAAAAAAACGAAAAACAACAACAACAACAACAAAAACAGAAAAAAAAGCAAAAACAAAAGAAGCAAAAATCCATGGCAATGCCACAAAACCAGGTTTTCAGTTATGACCATTGTAAAGAATAAGTAAGTATTTTGTAAAAACAGCAGATGGAAAAATTAAAATTATCCTAACCTGGTCCTAGGGGGGATAATAAAAGTATCTCATTCCTAACTGGAAACCGATTTTCTATTTTTAGCAACATTAAGGCTGACCATAAAGGGGGCACAAAGCTATCTTAAGTTAGATCTTCACATGATCTAAATTTAAAGCAAGTTTCATTAAAAACACTACTTACTGACCAGAAATTGATTTTCTGGTTTCGTAACAGTCACCTTGACCAAAAAGCAGGCAGATGAGCTGGCAGGCGTGCATCAAACAAGACGGTTTCTATTAATTAGCTATATACTGTTTTGTTACATGTAGTATAGTAGTTGTCAAAATGATATTTCATTATATATTACATTATATGGAAAAAACAAAAGTACAAATATTATCCAATCACAAAACCCCGACATTATGCGCTAGGGTTCTTGATGACCAAGCTTCTGTGGAAGTTTGTGCAAAATCCCTTGAGAAATGTAGAAGAAGTTGCGCGCACACACAACAAAAATGTGCACTATACATTCTATATGAGGGGTAAAATGCACTAGGGCTGCACTTGATGAAAATGCTTCTGTGAAAGTTTGGTCAAAATCCCTTGAGAAATTTAGGAATTGCGCACAGAAGAAATTGTTTACGCCCGTCCACCCGCCGACATACCTCAATCTAATAACCAGCTGTTTTTTTCTTCTTCAAAAAACCTGGTTAAAACAAGATTGCATTTGTGAAAAATGCTATGCCACCGCATTAATACAACGCTAAAAAGTAGTGTAGGAACAGATTGTTTTGTTTCTATACAATTGAAGATTGTCAAAATGCATAGATCCCTGACCTATCTAATTCTTATTATCAGATTAGTGGTTAAATCTATTGTTATTAAAATAAACGATCAAAGTAGGAATATATCAATGCAGTTGAGTCTAGTGAATTTGGTGGTGAAGGTCATATTTCACATAGCCTCAATTTCATGACTACATCAAAGGACAACACAGTAAGACACTTTGTCAAAATCTAGGTCAGCTGATATCAAAGTTCACTTTACATCTGTGCACACGGTTCAAATTTCATAGCTGTACATCAAAGGACAAGAAAGTAGGTCACATTATCAAAATCTAGGTCACCTGAGGTTCAATTTTACAACTAAAACCGTGCACATGATCAAACTTTCATTGCTGTACATCAAATGACAAAATGACAAGAAAGTAGGTCACTGTCCCCTCAGGCAAGGCAAAATTTTGACCAAAGGGTTTAATTCATAACTGTCTTGATACAGGTCCACCAAACAACATTTCATGTCAAATAGAGGTCTACCAGACAATGTCTTATGCAAAATACCTAAGCCATAGGCCTTTTGGGTCTTTACAAGAAGCTTTTTTAAATTCATTCTTATAATTCCTTTTGGTTGCCATGGCAACCAGATTTCAACATGGAATGCAATTCTTTGAACAACTTTGGAAGCCTTTTGGCCAAGGATCATTCCTGCCAAGTTTGGTTGAAATTGGACTAGTTGTTTTTCACAAGAAATTTTTTTAAGTTCTATATAATCTATAGAAAACACATGCACACGCACGCGCACGCGCACGCGCGCGCACACACACACACACAGGTGAATCGCTATATGCCACCATATCGCAGATGCTGCTGTGGCATAAAAAACACACAACAAAAACAAACAAACAAAACACACACTTTGACTTTATGCAATTAAGACATTCCGTAAACAAATGGGAACTTCAATGCAAATCATTACATCAATTAGCTGTACATTGCTGGTGTATTTTACCATTTCCAAAACACTGACATGTAAAAACGCCGTTTAAGTGTAATTTTAGATCTTATATTAATTAACAATAGCTTAAACAAATAAAACATCAAGAAATTATGAAATAGTGGCTCTCAGGCGACCGTACACAGTTATAATTTATTCTCCCAAGCAACCGTACTATGAGTTGGCAAGCAACCGTACAGTTAGGAAACAACACCAATGATGATTTATTTGTCATTTTTTCTTAAACCACTGTGTGCACATCAGATATTGATTAATCTTCTTAAGCTCTAATGATGATTCTTAAAAGTATCAAGAGGATTTGCTCGTATATTATATGCAAAGCTTGAAATCGATGTTGTGACATTTTTTGAGGAATCAGGGTGAGAAATCGTATTTTTCCGGAAAATACAGGTTTTACCGTACGGCTTAGTCCAGAAATAATCTCTTTTATGTAACTCCTAACTATAAAAATATAAATTCCTCCATGATTGGTCTTTATTGAACTTATTTATCAATTTTCAGTTCAAAATCGGCGATTTTTTTGCGTTTTTCTTGCTCGCAAGCGGAAGTTATAGCGGACACTGGAGTGTACGCTGTGATTATAGTAAAATTTATTCGACACTTTGAGAGTTAGCGTCAATAACGACTTGTTTGTACTAACATGCATTGGTAATTCTCCAAAATTTCTGTCTGTAGTTCGTGAGGGCCCATCCGTCCGTTAAGGCACTTATAAATTCAATACGGAACAATTCCCTTCTGGGTAGACGGCTAAATATTCTTCATATCGTATATATCGTGTATAAGATTGTGAATGGGCATACATGTGTATATTAAATAAATCAAATAAATGATATTATCTTCACAAACAAATCTCTTCAGGTTTATAATATATTGTTCTTATATCTAAACTAGTTTGTCTTTTCTAATATTAATACCTCTAATTTAACCCATTATAAGGACTTGTCTGTCTTAAAGGTCCTGTAACTCAATTTTTTATGATTTTTTATCATAAATATGATGCCCAAATTACGATTTATCAATTTTGTAAGTTCCAATAAGCATTATTTATAAAAGTATAATACCAAGATATAATATAAGATATATATACCAAATTTAACATTTCATGTAAATAAAGGGAGGTAATAAAGAAATTATTTTCTATAAAGTCTAAGTCAAATGTTTCAATAAGAAATGAATGGAAATATTTTAATGATTATATATAATATGTATTTGCAGTACATATTTTACATATTCTTCGATGTTTGAAAATTGTTTTATAAGCATAATTATATACATATATATAATTTTCACTTAAGTGTGATATACAACCTCAATTATAACATCTTGTAATCGTTCAGAGAAAATTTCAAAATACGTACTTACTAAACAGCTAACAGTGCAGTCCATGATCAGACAGAACGAATATGCTTGTTGATCATGATCTGCACTGGTCACTTGGGTCGATACATTTGCCGCAAGTATGCTTATAGTTGATTATACCATATAAGGCGTTAAAAGCGTAGTTGCTACTAATACATGGGAAATGGATAATGGTACATAGTTTGTACATTATCCTGAGTCAATTATATGTAACTTCTTATTGTTATTACAATCTCATTATTTTCCCTCTTTTATCCCCACGTTTCGTAAAGCTGTCTGAATAATACAGGTGTTTCCGCATTCAGAAAAGAAATATTTCTCTTCTTTACGAGTTTGAATATATAATGATAGCATTGAAAAGGCTGATAATTCTAAAGAAGAGGAAAGTTACTGTGGTTAATAGTATTTAGATGTTCTGATTTGTGTGTTTCCTAGATTCGAAATTTGAAGAAAAAGTTGAGGCCTATATAATTATGTTAAACGAGGAAAATAATGTACCAGCATATCATATGTGTTTTGCAGCAAAATGTCGACAAATATAACAAATTAATGTCAATACTCGTACATCATTATAACTTAAAATTAAGTTATCGACATGAATTGATCGATGATAAAACAGTCAAGAATGTGTCACTTCATAGATATTGGCAATAAGTTAATAATATACATGTTAACCGTCCAACCTTTTAGTCTGCTAAGAGATATGAATAGATATAACAAAATAAATAATCGACTAAGTGGCTAAGTGAAATAAAAGTTGATGGTGCAATTATTTATAAAATACTGAAATATTAGTTTAAAATTATTTACATAAACTCGATTGTGCAATTCTTAAATAGCTTATTTAAACAACTTTAAGTCCACTTCCTGAAATTAACCTGTACTGAATGACAGGTCATGTACCAGGAATGTATTGAACCCTTCCAGAGACAGACGCCTTAATCACTAGACCAGCTCGTAATATGAATAATTACATATTTTACTACATTATATATTATGAGGTTATTATATTTTGTCGAGTACAATACAGAATTCTATTGTACGAGAATAGCTGTCAAAAAAATAAACAATATTGGACGAGGCGCCAATCGAGTCGGATGTAGGCTTTGCCGCTTTGAACGAGTCCAATAGAATCAGTATTGTTGTCAACCATATTAAATGACCTTTTTATTTTACACCACCATTTTGTGACATTTAGTTCAATTACAATAAGGATTGGATATTGATTATAAACTCTCAAAAAAAAATGCAAAACGAGAGTAGATGGGGTGCGATATGAGTTTGATATTAACCTTTTGGACTTGGAAATGAGACCGAAACTCTATGTGGTCTGATATTGATATAGATTTGGCATGACCTTTTTAGACTCTGGCAATGAAAACTAGACTATAAGGGTTGTTATATGGATTTGATATGATTTTTTTTTACTTTGGAAATGAAAACTAGGCTCAATTGATAAGATTGGATCAAATTATTATTTCGGAACATCACATAGTGCAAATGCAAAATGTTAATTGGTTTTATTTTATATGGTATGAAATAAATGTATGTTATATTGTTTCAACACATAACAAAACACTGTACTCATACAATAACAGCTGTACTCTAAATGTAAGCTACACATTTCTACAGCGTTCAAGGTCTAAGGAAAAAAGCGGAATCACTTCGTGCAAGTTATCCTTTTTAAGTAGGCCAAAAAGATGTATTGTACTATACTGTTTTAATAATAGAAATGTAACAATATCATAGTATATATTTTATTGCAAAAATTAAACAATTCAAAATTCAATCATTTTTGCGAGTCCATGGGAGTAGATCGTATAATAATTATAGTATTTAATTTAGTCGTAGCATTATTCAAAAATCCTTCACCAAGATATTTCACTGTGCTTAATTGGTGAAGTTAAAAATGAGTAAGTGTTATAGTATCAAATGACAAAGGTATTTAACTATCACTACTCTAGATATTTCTAGTTCCCAATATCAAGGAAAAAATACCAAAATTGTTTAGGCTAAATTACCGGTAACTTTATATGTTTAATGTTGAAAATCATTTTACTTTATATGTGCGCTCTAAATTTGTTCATTACATTTGTAGGGAACCATTCTCAAAACAAACATGATGAAAAGAAGGAACCAAATGAAGTGCAAAAAGGTCAGTATAAAGATGGGGAAAGCAAACACTTTAAAGAAAAATACAAAAAATATGTAGAACAAATAAACAGTTAAGTTTACCTTGAATAAAAGCTTAAATCATTTTTACGGAATAACGACTGGACCGGAATCGAGGGCCAGTTTTGAAATGCGTATTATAATTTTATATATTTAACCATCTTTCGCCAGATTTTTGTAACAAATTTTCATCATTTTTTTGTCTCTGAAGGGCGGCATATTATAATCGCACCGCCCGTTTGAACGTATATCTCTCTGTCCGTCTGTCTGTATCTTCCCACTTATACAACATTTGTGTGCGAACTATAACTTTGTCATGCATTGAAAGATTATAAAATTACTTGGCACAAATGTCTATCACATCATAATGCTGTGTCGCGTCTAAGACCCATGTCCATAAATGAAAGGTCAAGGTTACACTAACAGTTTGAATGTACACATTCACATTAGAAGAGGTTGAAGGTAAACAATCATGTCTAAACTGTAACTTTCCAAATGATTTGAAGGATTTTAAAATAATTTGGCCCCAAATGTCTACCATATCAACCCAACGTGTCACGTCTAAAAGGGTCATATCATTACCTGAAAGGTCAAGCCACACTTGTCCGGACTGTGACTTCGTCATGCATTGAAGGTTTGTAAAGTAACTTGGCACACATGTCTACCACAATGTCCTTACCTCCAAGGTAAAGGTCACACTTATAGCTTGAAGTACTCATTCTCACAAGAAGACTATGAAGGTATACATTCGTGTCTGGACTGTGACTTTGCACTGAAGGATCTTAAAAATAATTTCACACAAATGTCTACCACATCAAGACAACGTAGCGCGCCTAACACCCTTGTCACGGCGTAAAAGGTCAAGGTCACACTTACAGGTTGAAGTACTTATTCTCGACGGAAGAGTTTGAAAGTCTGGACTGTAACTTTTTCGTGCATTGAAGGATTTTAAAATAACTTGGCATCAAATCAAGACAACGTTTCACCTCCAAGTGTCATGTCCCTATCTCCAATGTCAAGGGGGTTAGTTTTCTATGAATAGCACCACTTCATTTCACAAAAACAAAATGAAGCAATTAGTTACGTTTATTTTATTTTCATAATGCCTTTCTGCCTTTCGGTCTGGGGCATTTGTCACTTTTGTGTTTGTTTTTTTTTGTTGTTGTTGTTTTTTAGAAAGGGGCGGGTTTTTCATCGCACCAACACAGAATGGCGACTTTCCAACTTAACTAGTGGGTGAAGACATCCGATGCCATTTTGTGCATTATTTCAGACACGAACGTTCATCAGAGAGGAACCACCGACTTTCCCTAAACAAGATGGATATCCGGTGTCAAATATTACCTGACATAGCTTAAAATGTTTTTATGCTCCCCGAAATAATTCAGGGGGCATATAGTCGCCGGTGTGTCCATCTGTCCGTCACTCAGTCCATCAGTCCGTCCGTACGTACGTCCCGAATTCGTCTCCGGCCCATAACTTCGTTATTTGTAGTCGGATTTTACAACTATTTCACAGAAACGATCACTATATTGAGACGACGTGTGGCGCGCAACATTTAGGTCGCTATCTTGAAGATCAAGGTCACAGCATATCCTTGCAGCAAAGTCGTGTCAAGTCCATAGCTTCTTCTTTGAAGCCGGATTTTTACAACTCTTTAACAGAAATGATCAACATAATTGAGACGACGTGTCGCGCGCAACATCTTAGGTCGCTACCCTGAGGGTCAAGGTCATAGCATAACCTTGCAGCAAAATCGTGTCCGGCTCATAACTTCGTTATTTGTAGTCGGATTTTACAACTATTTCACAGAAACGATCACTATATTGAGACGACGTGTGGCGCGCAACATTTAGGTCGCTATCTTGAAGATCAAGGTCACAGCATATCCTTGCAGCAAAGTCGTGTCAAGTCCATAGCTTCTTCTTTGAAGCCGGATTTTACAACTCTTTAACAGAAATGATCAACATATTGAGACGACGTGTCGCGCGCAACATCTAGGTCGCTAGCCTGAGGGTCAAGGTCATAGCATAACCTTGCAGCAAAATCGTGTACGGCTCATAACTTCGTTATTTGAAGTCGGATTTTACAACTATTTCACAGAAATGATCACCATGTTGAGACAACGTGTCGCGTGCAACATTTGGGTCGCTACTTTGAGGACCTAAGCATGACCTTGCAGTAAAGTCGTGTCCGGCTCATAACTTTGTTATTTGAAGTCGGATTTGACAACTATTTCACAGAAATGATCACATATTGAGACGACGTGTCGCACGTAACATTTGGGTAACTACCTTGAAGGTCAAGGTCACAGCATGACCTTGTTTTTTAAATATCTACCATGATAAGACCACCTTCTTTGTATTTTACAGGATTACAGATTGTTTTATTTTTGCCTCCTTCCCATATAAAATCGTTAAGTAAGTCATTGAGTGTTTTCAAAAAAAGCAGTATTAGGTGTAGGTAGGCTTGTAAAACAATGAGTAAATAAGGGAAGCAATATTGACTTAACAACAGTTATTTTTCCTAGTGGAGTAATACCCTTTTTTCCAAAGACTTATACTAATTTTTACTTTTTGTAGCTTTGAACTATATACGGGACATAAATCTGAAACCATTAGAGGTATCAATATGAAACTTTGTAGGTAGATTGATCTCAATAAATAGAAGTGCAGTGCAAAAGAACCTTAACTCTGCCTTGCCTAATTTTGGAGTAATTGCCCTTTGTTCATTTTTAAACATTGAAATTTGTCTGTGACATAACTCTGACACTACAATAGGTATAATTTCCTGTGTCCAAAACCTATTCGGGGAGCATCACCCTGTTCAACCGGTTCTTGTTTTAATTCTTTAGAAATGTCAACACTGTGTTTAATAATGTTTGAATATTAGATTTAGAGCATGCTAGATGTTTAAAAATTGAAAAAAGTAACATTGAATGTGCAGGATTTGTCTTAGAGGTAGCAAAATGTAAACTTAGTAGTATTTTGACTTTTACCTTTCACACAATTTACTCATTCACTATAGTTATACCATCTGTCAATAGTGCATAAGAAGCAAAAGATATTAATGTATTTTGGCAAATGAGTATTTTATGTCACGGTATTCGGCCAATCAACATTCCACTCAAGCCACCATAAAACCGATTGCCTTCCCACAAGTTAGAACTAAAAATTAATTAACCGGAAAGAAATGATAATACTATGATATAACAATTCGTAAAAAATGGCTTACTTAATTTTTTTTCGATAAAGTTATAAAGTGTGTAATTTATTGTTGAATATGTTTGCATTGCATTTCACGGTTCGTTATTTATAACTATAACACGACACGAATGACCGTTTCGGTCAAAACCAAAACTACTTCTATAAATAGATTTTCGGACATTCAAAATGTTAAGCTAGGTCATCTATTTATAGCTTTCGAATTCATGTACATACATAATCCACTGTGTCCTACAGAATAATAAGTAATTTCCTGTAGAAGAAATAAGTTACCGAATTTAAGTTTATTTTTTGTTTTGTCTTTTATACTGCCTTCCCAGCTATGGAGGCGTGACATTTAATTTGTTCCCGTTCTCATTTATTATAATTTTATATATGACATGCTGCGAATCACAGAAGGGAAACCAAATATATGACTTAAAATAATAGAAATCGGAAGGAATTCCTGTCTCCGAATTCATTTTTAGCTGTGAATAGAAGGGATTAAATGATAAAAATCGGGTCCATGGACAAAAAAAGTCATTAAACGAGCAATAAAATTTGATATTTTTTTCTAAAAATAGTACTTTAAGTTTGCGACCTCTTGTTGCGCAACTTTGCCATAATTAGAACAAGCGTGCCTGGGAAAGACCTCTACTTGCTGGGTGATGAGTAATGATCATATCTTAAAATATCTGAGCTGTGCCAATTACTTGGACTGTTACTGACCCAATTGTTTTACAACGAAATGAGTAAAAAATGTTGGCCATATATACTATCCTAAAAACAATACTTCTTTTCAAATTTCACAGTATTGTATAAATAATTACTGTGTAATATTTTTCAAATTCGCTGTTCACAAAACAATAAACAATTCACTACGGTCGATTGAGTAAAGTCGTATTTTGAAGTGAAGCATGCGCGTTACAATGTTTATAGACTGGTTCTAATGAATTTAGACTGTAAATGAGATTCATTAAACTCAATTTGGTGCCGCCAGCAATCAACCTCAGGTATACGGTAAATCACTCTATCTCTACTTTCAAGCTAGTGCATGTCCCTAGAGTAAGCTGTCTGTCAAATAAGGTAAAGTGTTTTCCTTTTCATATATTTTGAAAACACTACATCATATATTGAAATTCTAAGAATGCTGTACAATGTAGATTTGATTTAAGTCTCCAGGAAGCGTTAAGCTGATCAATTTGTGTTTCAATGAGTGTAGTTATAGCGGCGTTTCACAGTCAGCAAATTTAGCGTTAAAATGAACCGTTTTATCATGAAAGGGATGTTATATCCTCCTATTTTCATTTTAACAGAGATCCAAATTAAAGTCGAATACGTTTAATGTAGATATTAGGTCTAGAATGCAAATACGATTTTTATCGGAACAAAACAATAGTAATTTGAGAAAATATGCAAGACAGCTTTAAAGGCACTTTAAATGTCCGAATGGTTTTAGCTTATTATTTGAAAAAATATTTATCACAAAGTTTTCGTAGTACACTTACTGATTAATCAAAACTTGTAGATGACCCCTTTTGATTTTGTGTCATTATGTCAAAGGTCCAGGCCACAGGTGCCTTGAATATTTGTATGGTCTCCGCGCATTATCTTGAAAGTTATTTATCACAAAGTTCATATGTTATACAGGGATTGGTCATAACAAGTAGATGACCCCTACTGATTGTTTGGGTCACTAGTACAAAGGTCAAGGTCGACGGGGTCTTAAATTTTAGAATGTTTCCGCTCATTATATTGAAAACCATTTAAGTCTTAATAT